TACTAACTACTACTCTCTACTACTATATCTACCTTAACCTAAACAACTACTACTACTACTACTACTACTACTACGTACGTAGTACTACATACTATATATATATATATATATATATATATATATATATATATATATATACACACACACACATGAATCCCACATCAAATAGGAAACTTACCATAGATATGCATATATCAAAACCTATAAGTTGCAACCAAAAGTCCAAATCTAGTTGGACATTTATTTAATTTACCCAAAATAATAATTGTTGTAGGATTTCTATTGGGTGGTGATTTTGGTTATCATCGTCTCTACCATATTATATGGCATTTCCTCCATTTTAGAATTTAATTGCCATAACTAGAGAGAGCGGGGGGAATATATGTTTCTGTAGTTGAATTGATCGAGTTTGCCTCTAAAGTCTAAATATTTCTATTGCACTTCATTGTGTCATTCTCATTCCATGTTGCTGAGCAAGAAAGAGACACGAAAAAGTTATAAGGTTTCCTCTTAACCATGGAGGCAACCATTGAGGATCATTCCTTATAGTATGGTGCCAATGTGGAATAATTTTATCAAGGTAATGAGTGCTTTAGAATTGGTTAGTTTTTTTGTTCGTGTTAAAGTCTGACCAATCGTTTTTTGCTTGTGTTGAAGTCTGACTAATCATTTGAATGACAACAAGCGCATATGAAAAATCTATATGAACCAGTGGTATCACATATAAAAGGGAGCAACAATGATGATTCTAAGGAGTTCAGTGTTATAAACACTTGTAGTGAGGAAAATGAAAATGGAAGAATGGGAAACTATGCAAATGAAGGAAATATTGGTTTTGAACCATGGTTCAAACATTGGATTTTTTTTAGTACCTTTTTGTAGCACATGTTCCCTTATTTTTTGTATATTAATATCTTGTTTATATTTTGGATGTAAAGCATTTTTTGGGTCCCTTTGTATAGAACCACCGAGTTTAGAAATCCAAATGATGGTTCAATAGAGAACTTGGGTTAAGTTTGAGGTTAATAAAGATGATGGGTCAGTGGATTATTTGGATAATATTGAGAATGGTAAAGATGAAGAGGATTTTGTGAATGTACTTGTGAACAAATCTTTTTCTTGTTGTTTATTGAAAATTGATAAATGGGAAAACGTGACTTTTAACAGCAACGCAACAATTTATGACATAATATGGCAAGAGAGAGAGAGAGAGATTGCAAGGTGTTTCACATTTTAACTGTTTATAATGAGAATAGTGATCATATTTGCATGGTTGATTTGATGAGCTTATGGGTTGTCTAATTGTACAAAAATTAGAAAATTAGGGCCCCAATTTGTTTGCTTATGTGTTGTCCGAACATAAACCATATCTCTCTTTTTTCCCCCTGATTAAAACAGGAACTTATCTTTCTCTCTCCCTTCCTCCTCCCCCTCTCTCCCCACTCATAAGATTACACATAGGAATGCAACAAAATGTTAGCTTTGCCTTTAAGAAATAGGAAGCCTGAACTAGCCACTGATTACACAAAGTATTTTTGTAAGAAATGGGATGCTTGAACTAGCCGTTGATGCCTATCATAAAATGATCGAAAATTGGTTTAAACCCACAGAAGATGTCTTGAAAGCTATGGTTTCGGCCTGTGCAAAGGAGGGGCGGCTTTGGCTACAAAGAATGTCAGACAAATCTTGAAATATTAGTTGCACCTTAATGCTATCGTATATAATACACTGATGAATTGCTTGGGAAAAGTTGGGGAGGTTAAACTCGCTATTAAAATCTACAACCATATGAAGGCATCGGGAAATAAACCAGACACATATACATGGAAGGCATTACTCAGTGCACTATTAGTGCAAGTCGATATGGTGATTCTCTTTTGCTTTTTGAAGAATTGAAAGTTCACAGTTAACCATTCATATATATAAATTTGCTTTGATGGCATGTACACGGCTAGGCCATTGGAAACAATCCTTGCAATTGATGTGGAAGATGGAGGCTAATAAGAGTATGCCTTCAACTCTATCTTACAATCATGTTACTGGTGCTTGTGAAATTGCAAGGAAGGCAAAAGTTTATCAATAATTCTATGAACATAGGCTTTATGATAAAGTGTATACCAGACACATTTACTTATGTATCGTTTATAAGAGCATGTGCGGCCGCAACAAGAAAAAGTTGCTAATGCCATTTACAAGCCCTTAACAAGGCAGTACATCAAGATAGAAATATTCTTATAAATCTCTCTATAGGAAATTACAATGTAGTGCCTTACCATTACACTTCCATGCAAATTCTTTTTCAGGCCAAAGTAAACCATTGTTTAATACAAAAAAAAATGATGCCATGGAATCATAATCCAGGTAACTAGCTTGCAAATATATGCTATAGAGAAACCATCAAAATACATGTGTTAGGCAACCCACAAATAGGTTGCTCTATACAAAAACCCGTAAAGGGGCTCAAAAATGTTTTACATCTAAAATATAAACAAGAAGTTAAGATACAAAAAATGAAGGACCATGTGATAAAAAAGGTGCCCAAAAAAATCCCTTGTTTGTTATCTTGTGTTGCTCCCTCTTTAGTGATAGCGTCGGATTCTAAGTTGGGCTCGAGTAGCTCCATAACAAAAGGAGGATCCATCCGAAAGGGTGAGAATAACATAATGTGGTTGCATCAAACTGCATTTAAAGAGTAAAAATATTATTGAGGTTGCACCAAAACTACAAACAAAGAGTAAAAATATCATCAACTATTGGCAAACTCCTTCAATTCAACTAGAAAAACACATATAGCTCAAAAGACTTATCATGTGTTATAGTCTATACCAGCATAATAATAACAAGTTCAATATAAAAAAGTAAAACAAAATCAATGCGCTCTTCCTAAGAACACTTGAAACATATGAATCAAATTATATGGACAACAAATGCTCCATGAAAGTGATTTAATAAATATCACTAGATGAAAAAGAGAGCTACAATTGAGTATGGAAAAATATTAAAGCATGCAATTAGAACATACATCTAACAATTAGAACATATATATAGTTAGACTTTTAGAATTAAAACTTTCTTTAATTCCATTTGAAATTTAAAATAAGGTGATTGATGCACCTTATCACCACATTGTAAAAACCCAAAATATTATCCCAAACTTCAAACAGTAATATTGAACATTTTCCCCAAGAATGAAAATAATCATCCATTGGTTATATGTTGGTTCCCCAACTTCTGGTTTGGAAAAATCTTCCCATCTAGGTCACTTGCCCGAGGGCATGAGCACAAAGCATCCACGACAACACAAAGTATACGCATTCATTTTAACAATTTGTAATTTTGAGTGAATGGTATTTTTTTTCTTTTGACAACTGAGTGAATGGTCTTTTTCATTACCTAAATTTACGTAAACTAAAAAATAAATCAATAGAGCATTCATTTTAACAATTTGTACTTTCGAGTGAATTTACATAAACTAAAAAAATAAACCAATAGAACAAGCTATCAATCGAGACAGAGAGAAATGTTGGTGTTTAAATCATTTAAAAATCACCATCAAATTTATGAAAAGCATATACAATCGTTGGGATTCTCGAGTGATAGGATAGAAATCCAGTCATAAATCAGCTTAAAAAATGACATATTATATATATAATTTCTTAAAAAAATGTCAATTCTTAAACCTAGAGAGAGACGATAAAACTAGAGAGTGAGCGCTAGAGAGAAAACATAGAGGGGAACCTAGAGAGAGAAAGAGAGGAAATTGCAGAGAGACAAAGCTAGAGAGGGGAACCTTGAGAGAATGCGGAAGAGATGAATAACACTTTCCTGGTTCGATCGTGAGAGAAAGAGGCCTTATTTCTACCCTCCGATGGCTTCCTCTATCTGATCTTGCCTTAAATGTAAGCATATTATCAAAATGGACGGGATTAAATGTAAGCATATTATCAAAATGGAGGGGATTAAATGTAAGCATATTATCAAAATGGGCGGCCTATGTAAGTTGCGCTGAAAAAACACTTTTCTAGATTGTGTTTATAATTTTTTATTTTTTTAATTTTATGATTGTTTATTGGAATGAAAAGAGTCTTTATCTTAAAAATTGGATAAAACAAAGGAAAAAGTTTATATAAGGTTGTAACATTAAAATGTAGAATCATAGATGCACCTAAAAAATCTATCAAAAATATTGTTTTAATGTTGAAAAACCCTCTAATTGATCAGCTCGATCTCGAGATGTATGAATATGAAAAAAAAAAGTTTTTGTGTCCTAGAAATAGTGCATCTTACAACACATTATTTAGACGGTCTATTTTTAAGATTTTCATATTTACAGATCTACTTGATTTTAACCGTTTTTGAAATTTAAAATTTTATAATTAGATATAAAAATAGATTTTAAGATAATCCTAATAATTTTTTACAACAAAATTACATGTTATGATAAAAATTTGAAGTGCGCCTTGATTGGATTGTGTAAGGTTGAAACTTGATCGAAACCGCACCCTAAAATAAATGACTCTAACATAGTTTTTGAAGACAAAAAAAAGAAAATATCCTATCATTCCCTATTTTTAACTTCTATAGCTCAACAGACTTAAGAATTGAAAATATTACTTGTAAGTAAATGATTCCATCTTTTATATCTTTCAACTCCTTAAACCCTTTTGACCGTGTATTATTGACCTTAACAACTTAAAAAATGACTTTATCTCTTTCTCTCTCTCAAAACTCTATCTCTCTCTAAAACCCAAATTCCATCTCTCTCCCTAAAATTGAAACTCCATCTCTTTCTCTCTGTAGAGTCCAAATTCCATCTCTTTCCTTAAAACTCCATCTCTCTCTCACACATAAAAAAGTGTGCTCGTGTTCAAGCTCAAACTAAACCCTTTGGCAGGTCAACTCACCGAGAACTGAAGAGAGAGAGATGGAGTTTTAGATTGAGAGAGAGATGAAGTTTGAATAAAGTATCATTTTAGTGTTTATTTGAGTAAAAAATTTATGATCAAAAGGGTCAAAGGGTTATAAGATAGAAAATATAGATATTTTTTTTCCTACAAGTAATATTTTCGATTTTTGAGTCTCATGGTATATGAAAGTTAAAAATAAAAAATAAAGAGATATTTTTTTCAAAAAAAAAAAAAAAAAAAAAAAACGTCGAAAGAAGGTAAATTCCCAACTAGTCACACGTGCGCCCGTATCTTCCCGCGCTCTCAATTTCGAATGCACGCTGCCCTGCTCCTCGGTGTATGGGCCAATAGCTCCCCCACTTCCCATTTCAGCAGAAGTCTTTAGTAGAGGGAGGAGTGAGTCCAGAGAGAGAGAGCTACACAATAGAGAAGTACCGACACTGGAGGAGTCTACGAGAGAGAGAGAGAGAGAGAGAGAGCGAGAGAGAGCTAAACTAGAGTGCTGTTGCAGAAGGGGCAAATGCCCTGAAATTCTTAGGGCTTCCAGCTCCTCGTGCCTCAAAGACTCTATTCCCTCTCTCTCACAATCTAGGGCAATCCAAAAGTGACGTCTCCTGAGCTATGTCTGAAGAAGATGATGATTTCCAAAACCCTAGCCAGGCTTTTACCCTCACCCAAAAGCTCATCCTCAGTTCCTGCAAAAACTCATCAAATAGTTATGCTAAGAGACCTGCAAAAAAGGCCAAGAGTGAAACCATAGGCAACAAGGAGAACGTTGAATCTGGGAAGAAGAAACGCAATATTGCGGCTCCTAAAGTAGAAGTCACCCCTCTCCACGATCGTAATTCTAGGGCCTTCATGGGGAATTTGGATTCTAAGGAAGAAAGGAATGATTTGAAGAGTGCTTCCGAGAGGGTGGTTTCAGTGAACTCGAATTGCAATAAAGGATATGAAGATTATGGCTATGGAATGGGGAAAATACGTGTGTCTATGTCTATTGAGTCAAGGTTATTAGGTTTGGGGGACAGTAAGAAAGTCAGTTCGGATTATGGGTTTGAATTCAGATCAGTAAATGGTTTCAAGTGTGTAGGAGATGGTCGGGCTAGGGACTTCGAGCATAGTTCTCAGTTGGATGCTTTGATGAATTTGTGTGCTGATTCAAATACAGTTGGAAATGGTTGTTCTTCTGGATTAGCTGAAAAAGAAGTTAATTTGGGTGTCGAAGGTAAGGATACTGAGGTCTTAGTGAGACAAATGGGCCTGCTTGGAAATGGTGGTTGCCCTAGATTAAATGAAAAAGAAGTTAATTTGGGTGGTGAAGGGGAGATAAATGAATTTTTAGGGAGAGGAAGGAGCTTGCTTCAAAATGATGGTTCCTCTGGATTGGCTGAGAAAGAAGTTAACTTGGGTGATGAAGGAGAAATTAGTGATGTTTTACTGAGAGATACAAGCGTGCTTGAAAATGGTGGTTGTTCTGGATTATCGGAGAAAGAAAATAAGCTGGGCGATGAAGGAGAAAATACCAAGATCTTAGAGAGAGAAAGGGCCGCGGAGAGACTTGGTGAGGGAATTGAAACAGGTGGAGTTGGGTTTCATCAGTTTGCCCAAGTTGTGGAGTGTCCTTTATGTGGGATTGATATCACATACTTGAGTGAGGAAGATAGGTTAGTCCATAGTAATGGTTGTCTCGACAAAGATGAGATTCCCAAGGTAATGTCTGGGCCTGAACTTTATATTCTTTCCTTTTTTAAGTATATTTTTTTACCTTTTTTGGGCTTTCTATTTTCTCTTTGAAATTCATGTGCATATAGTGTTGTTTTCTATTTTGTGCAGAAGAATTGGGCTTTCAATCAAGACCTTTTGATTTGGCAGCGAGTCTTATAAAAATAAGAATCGTTCTTGCAATAATTTAATTTGGAGTTTACACTTGTTTCTTTCAAAGAACAATGACAGTTTTAAGTGCCGCTATTCTTTCATGTACGGATTAGGAAGTTATATCCAAAAATCCTTTCACCAGTAGAAAAATAATCTGTAATTGGGTATGAGAAGGACACATTGGTGCCCTTTATGTGGCAACTGCAAGAGATGCTCTTTAATAAGGCTGGAATACTTCCTCTCAGGCTGTCGAATGAATAGAAGCTTGAAGTGGTGCCTCACTTCTAATATTGTCCTGACCTTGACAAATACTTGGATAAAAAGGCTCTTGGATAAAAAGGCTTAGAATCATGAACCTAGCTCTGCTGGGCAAATGGTGGTGTTAGTTCACTTCCCCCCACTCCCTGTTGTGGAAATCTGTCATCCAACACAAATATGGCCTTGAGGTAGGTTGTTGGCTGCCCCATACGCCTCCTCACAGATCTTCGAGAGCTTCGAAATTCATAGCCTTCAGCAAACCAACATTCCTAATGAAAATGGCAATTGCATTAGATTTTGGTTAGATATTTGGTTAGGTGATGTACCCCTCTATCTAGCTTATCCCTGCGTTTTCAACATTCCTGAATCAGGAAGCCCTCATCAAGGACTATTGTCAATTTTGAAACTCCAGTCTTGAGTGAACCCCATCTTTAGAAGAAATCTCTCTGATATTGAAATAGCAGCCTTAAACCCCCTCCAGTCTCTAGCAACCTTCTTCTGTTCCTTCCAGCATCCTGACTCCCTCCTGTGGTCCCCTAACCTCTCTGGCACCTTCACGGTTGCATCTTTCTACTTTGCTCTTTTCCCTAATCTCTCTCCTTCACCCATCTTGAATAAATGCTGGTCCCTGTTGGTGCCCTACAAGGTTCAAGCCCTCATGTGGGTCCTCCTCCAGGGAAGAACCCTTACTCTAGACTAGTTACAAAGGCGTGGCCTCCCCTTACCTAATACGCATCATGTGCCTCCAGGATGCAGAATCTAACCCCAACCTCTGCATTCACTGTGTATCTGCTTCAGCTGTTTGGTCCTCTCTTCTTAATCTCTTTGGCATTCAGTGGGTTGCATCCCCCTTCATAAAAAGCTTATTCTCCACCATTATCTTCCCACGTTTTCCTCGCAATGGTAAAAGCTGTGGCAACTTTTTGTTGGTAGCACGCCTTTGGGGAATTTGGCTGGAAAGACATGCTAGGACCTTTAGGGGTAGGTCCGACCTTGCCCTCTTCGACTCAGTAACCTCCCTCATCTCCTCCTGCAAATCTTATCTCTATTTACACTAATAACCTGATCACCAACTTCTTAAATAATTAACACTCCTTTTTGGGTCTCTCACCAGCTATCAGAGTAAACCTCCCCCTCCCCCGCCCCGATAGGCTACTTGAAGCTGAACACAGGTGGATCCTCTTTAGGTAATCCTGGTCCTTCAGGTTACGGAGGTACAATGGTCAACATAGAGGGCATCTTCATCTCGTTCTCGGGGTATATTAGAATCACATATTCCACAACAGCCGAGGCCTTGGCCCTAAAGGTCTTAAAGAAATTTAGGTCCTCCAACCATTGCCCCACGACCTCATCGTGGAGTCTGAACCGAACAATACTGTTTCTTGGGTTACTCGAGCTTCCTAGCCCCCATGGCGCCTTCATCACATTGTTTAGCATATTTTCTTTCTCTGCAGCTCCCTTTCTCATATTTCCTTTAAGCATATCCCTCGAGAAGCGAACTGTGGAGTAGACAGCCTAGCCAAAGAAGGCGCTCACAACTCCTCAGGTGCACCTCCCTTGCTCTAAGCTCCTTAATCATCTCTCTCTCTCTTTCTCTTTGCCTCTCTCTTTCCCCCCTTCCCCCTCTTCTCTTCACCCTCTTTCTTCTCTATCACCTCTCCTCTCCTCCTCACCTGCACCCTTTCTCCTTCACCTCTCTTACTCTCTGATCTCTGCTTTTCTATCTATGATGTTTTCTCCTCGCTCTCACTTTTTGATGCTCTAAGCTCCTTAATCCTCTCTTTCTCTCCTATTTCTTCCCCCCCTCCCCCCCTCTCTTCCCTTCACGTTATTTCCCTCTCTCGCTTCTCTTCTTCCCCTCACCTTCACCCCATCCCCCTCACCTCTCGTACTCTCTGTTCTCTGCTCTTCTCCCTTTGCTGTTTTCTGTTTGCTTTCTCATTCTATTGGTCGTACCTCATCGACGGTTTTTAAAAAAATAAAAATAAAATATGAATAGGGACATGGAAAAAAAGGAAAAAGAAAAAAATTAAAAAAAAATCAAAAGAAGGGAAAAAAATGGAAGAAAATAGAGAAAAAAATGAGAAAGAAAGAAAAAAGAGAGATAATAACGTGATATATAATTGTTTATCTTCATTTATTCTTCTCAATCCTTACTTCCTCTCTCTCTAAACCTCTCAATATCTGTGTCCTACTATTTTCCCTCTCTTCTTTTTCACTACCCCTCCTTTCTTCTGTATATCTCCCCCGTTCATCCTCTTTTCTCACCTAACCCAGTTCTCCAATTTCTTCTTCTCTCTCACACCCTCACCCCTCTCCTCTTCACCCCCTTTCTCTCTCTTGCTTATCTTCTTCCCCCCCTCTTCCCTCCTCCCCACCTCTTTTATTCCGATTGCTCTCTGCTTTTTCTCTTCACAAGACTCTTGGTCATGCTTCGCCTACGCTTCTATGACAAGATAGAGTATGCTTGATTGAAGCTCCTGCCCCTACTAGACGGTGCTGCTGCCCCCATTTAGACGGTGCTGCTTCCTTTTCTCGTAGGTAGACCCTGCCTCGCCTTAGCTGCACCCCCTTTTAGACGGTGCTGCTGCTTTTCCTCGCAAGAAGTTCATGCTTTGCCTAAGCTGCTGCCCCTTGAAGAAGACCGCCTTTGATTTCTTACGCAATACAGCTCCTGGTTGTTTAAATCTTGTTCGCCTAACTTTTAGTGTTTCCTTTTTACCCCCCAATTTTCTCCTATCTCATCTTTTCTCTCTAATCTGTACTCTGAGCACCTAGTTTGTGGGCTGCCTCTATCTTAATTAATTTTAATGTTTTTTTGCTACTTTTATAAAGTCAACCGTTTCTCAAAAAAATAAATAAAAATAGCCCTTGCAAAAAAATGGGCCTCCCCAAAATGTAACTGGAAATAACAATAGAAACATTCCCCAAAATGTAACTGGAAAAGCCCTTGCAAAAAAATGGGCCTCCCCAAAATGTAACTGGAAATAACAATAGAAACATTCCCCAAAATGTAACTGGAAATAACAAGAGAAACGTTGACTGAAGATAGAGGTATTTATTGTTAATATCACTGTGCACAAGTGCACACTTTGTTTTTTGTGCTTTGTTTTTTGACACTACACAGTTAGTCATGACAATGCAGTTGTATGGAGTTACAAGGCAATCGACTAGGTTCCTTAATGAGTGTGTCAATAAGACATGATTTCCAAGGGTTTATGGAATGGTTTGTACTAGCCAATTTTTATAAAACAAGCATTGGAAGTCCAAGAACAAAAGGAAAAAAAAAACAACAGATAACGTACTTATGCCTTCGGAAAAGAAGATGTATCACATTGGCAACAGTTAAACCTCATTCATAGTGAGAAATAGAAGATTGCAGGGAAGCCACTTTACAAACAACTAGGATTTGACCTAGGAAATAAGAGCAACTTGTACTTTTTCATGCCCTTTTGTGATGTCTCATAGATACCTAGCTTCACAAGAGCTGAACTAAATTTTATGTGTACTTTTAAGGTTGCAAGGTTTTAAGTATCCACATAGGCATGGTTTAAAGTTTGAGAAATCGTGATACATGTGAGCATATTTGAATCGCTTAATGTTTTCTACTGAATCTTCTTGAAACCACTGAGAATTTTTCTAGCATATGTGCTTGATTTTAGTTCTTTAACTCTTAACTTTAAAAAGAGACTAAAATGTCTTTGAACAGCATTTTGAAAGCTTAAGTTTATGCTTCTCAATTATTGATTTCTTTGAATATGGTTTCATATCACAATCTTTACTGCCTGAAATTAACTCTTTACTGTATTATGAACTAAAATGTGAAGTTTCCCACAATATGTTTCGAACCTCATACGATCGTCTTAGTTAAACTTAAAGGTACCAAATATTAGAGCTTGTTGGATTCCAAATACGTTATTGAGGATTTTCTTTCAAGTCTTTTAAAAGGACTAAAGACTTGATAGTCTTGGTAACATTGGTTTTTTGTTTTTGTTTTTTGATACTGTTAATTTTAAGTATTTTAGGAGGTCGTCGGGTCAAACCCGAGGTGTTGGGTTCACATGATGTTTTTTCAATGCCACTATTGAATTTGAATTTGGTTTTACAAGTGGCCTCCTGCATTTTAATTACTTTACCAAAGTGGGTTTTTTGTGTTTGTGCTTCAAGCTCTGCTGAAGCTAGATCCTGAGGGTTCCTGGGTTCATTATCAAGTTGTTGCATGCATAAATTTTTTAACATTCTTCTTCCATGTTGCTTTTAGGTGATAATCACATGTAATCAAATCGAAACATGTCTCCTGAGACCCAATCTATTTCTAGACTTGAAGTGCTCATGGTAAGTCTATTTGAGTTTTGAGTTGCTTTCAGACTACTATACTGGGACAAGGCTCTTATTCAACCCTAGTTGCTAAGATTATCCAGGTGACTAAAAAACTACTCTGGCAGAACCATCATAAGTTGTGCTAAATTCAATGAAAAACAGCAAAGTGTTTACAAATGTCAACATGATCATGGATATTGAAGTTCAATTTTCTGGAAACACCTGGTGATTCCATGCAACATGTTGTGATTCTATGCAACTTTGCATAGAATACACACACAGCCACATGTATATTAGGAGCCTATGCCATTTTTTTATCTACTTCCTCTATTGATTGTACTTCAGGTTTACATTTTTCAGATCCTAATCTAAGTTTCTTCATTCACTCAAAAAAAAAAATTATGAGTTCTTCTGTTTAGTTCTTTAGAATTTGTGGAAGAGTGCTTATTTCTTTTGTTTTCAAAGCACATGTTATCTTGTTATGTTTCCCATTTATTTGATGTTTAAACTCTTTGGATAAAAATAAGAATGCGTTTGATATCTTGTGATTTTTTGATTGACTGTGTTCACTAAATGCCGGCACCTTCTGTAGGCAAACCATCTTAAAGATGAAATGAGGGTGGATCGTCTTCATGGTGTTGCTGATGTCACTCCTGTGCTAAACTGGCTTCGAACCTTGAATCTGTCTAGATATGAAGAGGCTTTCATTAAGGAAGAGATTGATTGGGATACTCTACAATGGCTAAAGGAAGAGGTGTGCCTTGACAAACTGAATAGATGTCATCCACAATGTTTACGTGCATGCATATTTGTGCATATGAGAACATCTACATTCATATTGGCTGATTCAATATCATTCCGTTTTAGATACCAGAGGACATCTTGTTCTTTTAGTTTGTTTTCTATTTCTCTATATGATCAACTATCATTTTTGATGATTGTAGTTGTTGCCAATCATGATTTATCCATATGAATGTTGCAGGATCTAATTAATTTGGGTATTAATGCTCTGGGTCCTAGAAGAAAGATTTTGCATGCTCTTAATGAGTTGCGGAAGCAAAATATGCAACCGAGTGAGGTACAAACAGACCATTCATCTATTGCTATCAATGATAATGGTAAGCTTGTTGTACCTGGGAATAAATTGATAACTGAGTTTTTCCAAGGTTCCTCTACTGCTGCTGGATTCCAAGGTTCTCGGGCATCTGGATCTCGGCCAAGGCAAGAAACAGCTTTGGGAAGTAAAGGCTCTAGGATAAGAAATCCAGTCAGTGCTACCAATGTCAGAGACATTCCTCCATGGTCTTGCATACCTGGAACACCGTTTCGTGTGGTATTTTGCCTCTTAATTTTCATGTAATCAGTTGCATTGATTTATTCTTACCGCATTTTTTTGCTTTGACATTGATGAATGTCATTTGAAAGTCCATCGAATTCGAGGCACTGCCTGGTTTCCATATGAACAACATAATTAAGGAATGCGTTTAATGTGCTGTCTGGACAATAAATTTATTCACTGGAAACACTATTTTCTTTATAGTTATATTGAATGGAAACTGGTGATTAAGTGATTATGAGCCATCATTAGGCAATCAAACTTCAACCTAGTTCTCTTTGGTATACCCCCAGTTTTGCAGGACTTGATTTCCGTTATTCCAACCTTTGGCAGGTCATGTTCCTCTAGTTCTTTCCAATTCTTGTCTAAGGATCAGCTTACCTATAATTTACATGACCTTTAGATGATACTGTGATTTAGCTGATTGATCTAGCTGCCAAAGATCTTCTAGATTGTATCCAATAATCAAGAGGTCACTTCGTAGAATTTTTTTTCCTTTAACTGGACTAAGTATTTATAATGTTAAAAAATTCAGCCACCTAGCTGCCTGGGCAGGGTTGCCCAGGCAGTCTAGGCAAGCTACTGAATCGAAGGGGCCTTGGCGGGAGCCCTAGACTCCAAGTGCATAGGTGGGCTGAAGGTAGGCACTAGGTAGACAAAGGGACCCACATAGTGGCAACCCCCTGTTAAAAAAAGTAAAAGACGTAAGCCCCTTTTAAAAAACAAAACATATGCCAAGGCCTGAAAATGAGTACTGAAGTAAGAAGCAGACCCTAAGGTCCCTGAAGATGAAGGAGAAAAGAAGAAGAATGAAGTAGGAGAAGAAGGCCCTAAGAAGGAGAAGGAGAAGGAGAAGGAGAAGAAGAAGGCCCTGAGGCAAGAGGGTTCAAGAGTGAGAAACTGTCTCAAGAAGGAAAGCCCTAACTGCCATTAACTTTGAAGAAACCATCTCCTCTCTCTCTCTCTCTCTCTCCCCTCTTTTTTTCCATGATGAAGAAGGCAGGGTTCTAGAGAGAGAAGTAGTGGAGAGAGAAAAAAAAAACAAAAAAACAAAAAAACAAATTGCCACTAAGATTGAAGAAACTCTCTTCTCTCTCTCCTCGTTTTTCTCCCTTGCTGAAACAAGAGTGTGGTGTTGCAAAAACAAAAGGGAACTAGAGAGAGAAATAGTAAGAAAAACAATATCTACCATTAATATTGCACAAACGCTCTCCTATCCTCTTTTTCTTCTTTTTTTTTCCTTAGCTTTGCATAATGAGATGATAATATAATTAATATATAACTATTAAGCATTTGAAATTACCCCTTTTGTCAGTGAAGTTTCTAATAGCATGCTTCCATGTTCACACTGTTCTAATAGCCCCCCCCCTCCTGGGGGGGCCGCATCCGACTTTTTGAGCATTGAGTATCAGCATTTTATTCATGCTCTTTGTTTGGCAAATTTTCCCTTTCTCCTCTTTGTCCATGCCACAATGTATTACTTCTACAATTTTATGAAGGTTAATGCGAATGCTCTCTAACTTAGCACACATGCTAAGCATTTTCTCCCTTTTTTGCATGAGCTTTGCACTTCCTTCTCGGCATTGTATAGCTATGACCTCATAGGCCACTTTGTTATAACTTGTTTGGGCAGGAAGCTCTCCATTGCCTACACAATCTAGTTTTTTGGGATTAATAGTGGCCTATTTCATTGGTGTGTGTTTTCAATCGCACTCTCAGGTTCTCAGTCTAGTTGGTGACCCTTCTCAAACTTTGTTACTGGTAATAAAGAAATAAAAGACATCCATATTGCACATATTTGCCGTACTCAAAAAGTTAGGTGACAAGTAAAACTTACTTCCAATGTCAACTTTTTTTTATTTTATTCATGACGTTTTAGGACCCTAATAGTGAGAGGTTGAGGGAGGGAGGGAGGGAGCTAGAGAAAGAGTTCTTGGCTCTTGTTTTTTGGCTTTGTTTTGTGGTCTTTGATGAGTTACATTGTTATCTTCATCTTAGTAGTTCCTTTTTTGTGTGAAGGTTCTATGACCACTTATATTTCCCTCATGTGATTTATGTTTGAAGGAATTAAGTTGAATTTATTTCTAATTTATGCTTGCAGGATGCGTTTCGATATCTAAGAGGGGATTGCTCCCATTGGTTTCTCACTCACTTTCACCTAGATCGTAAGTCCATTTTGTTTATGAGCATGAAGATTGAGTCTTTAGATGGAGCTTTAGTTGTATGTAAATTCATGTAATACTTGTTTATGGTTCTCTTTATTAATTTTACATTAGTTGATTATGGAGACTTTATTTACATTTTATACTCCATTTGGCAAAAAAGTATTGAAACGAATATCTCAGGAACTCCCCCACCATAAGTGAGGGAGTAATAGACAAATTTAAGAAAGTCATAATACCAATGAAAAGTGTTGCAGCCTATGTTACCTAGACACCAATGCAAGCATCTACCATGTTAGACGTATCAAGTCACGGGCCTAAGACATCTGTAAAAGTATTTTCAGACACAAATGCACAATACTAGCAAATGGGATGTGCATTGCATGATGCTCATGTAGAGCAATTAGACAAAAATGATTTTTAAATGTTTAATAAAATAATATCTTTATATGTATTTATTTTAATTCATTCAATAATATTTTTTAATTCATTCAATAATATTTTGATTGCTGTTTAATTTTCCGTTATAACTTTTCTAATTCTATCTGTTGGAGTATTCTTTTTCTGGTAAGATGCATACAATTATATGAATTCCTCTTTTTGATTAGCATAGAAATTTCCTTTCAAAGTTTTCTTATTAAATTTTGTTTTTTAGTTTGTGCCTGTTTATTCTCCTTATAGACTATTTTCAATCATTATCTTGATAAAGCATAAAAGAAATTTCTAAGGAGAGATGAATACCCCTTTTGTTGGCAAATTTATTAATGGATTTACATGACTAATCAAATAGATTTTTAAGTTAAGGAATTTCAAGAATGAGAGTTTAGACAAAAATAAAAATATTCTAGGAAATTCATGGGGAAAAGTAAGAGGCAGTTAGAATTGTAAAAGTCTCCCTCCTATTTATTCTTCTTTATATATAGCTCTATAAAAATATCAAAAAAATTATAAAACTCAGAAAATTTTGAGAAATGCAGACTAAAAATGTAAGTAAAGTTACTCAATGTAATAAATATGAAAGTATGCATATTTCTTAACCTCATCCTTAAGATATAATTTGGTGAATTACCTACCAAAGAATTTAATTAAAAAATCATCTTTTGTCTTTTATATTTATTGTTTTACTTTTCTGTTGCCATGTTTTTGTCAAAAAAGATGCTTGTTTGATGCTTTTGCTAATTGGGCTATTTATAGTTCTATTTTCTTTATTTATTAGTTAATTCGATTTTTATGGTCATTGCATAATCCGCCACCTACAAACCTACCTTAAGCATATAAATAATAACAGAAAAAGAAAAGGAAAATCACTGTACAAAGTTCCATCTAGGATTTTACCCTTCTTTTGAGCATATAAACGGTACTACTCGAGCTTAATTTGAGCATTATACAATTTCCCACTTCTAAAATCTTTGATGGCTGAGTTGTTTCTTGCAACTTTTGTGCATTTATGATGATGACTCCCAGCAGAATGGTTTAATCATGTTTCATAAAAATAAAGTTATAATTTCTTTTAAAGTCCATTTCATGCAATGCTTACAACCCACATTCCAGTTCACCAAACCAAAACACTTTCTGAAAAAATGATGGATTACTTTTTAATATGCATTGCACAACTCCATATAGTACTAGATGAGTACTAGATGAGTACTAGTTGAGTCATCTAGTGATCATCTCTTATCAATTTTTTTCTGCTTTTATTTCGGTTAATTTTGCAATCCATGTCATGGTAGTAAGTACTCATGGCGGTTAAAAGCGAAGGCCTATCCTTGGGAATGTGTTGCCTATTTGATAACCAGCCTAGGTGCCCGCCGAGGCATAGTTGCGCTCTTGTTTCATGATAGTTTCGATGTTTGGTGCTGCCTCACCCCATTGAATTACTATACTCATTTTTAGCACAAGTCAATTTTCATAGCTTGTTGTAAACATCAGTACAACTTATGCTTTATAGTTTACGCTTATGAAATGGTTTTTTTGCTGACTTTAGGTTTTGGTTCTTTCAGATTATCAAGGACTTACGAGGGGATTCCGTCATGGTAAAATTTATTGCTCTGAGGTCACAGCACGTCTCATAAATATGAAGATAGGGATCACTTTGGACAAGATACAAGTTCTACCTCTGAACTGTAAAATAAATATTGCTGGTGTAAATGTCACTTGCTTTGATGCAAATCATTGCCCGGGCTCTATAATGATTCTTTTTGAACCATCCAATGGCAGGGTAAGGCCAGATCACATGAGTTCTTTAATGTTAGGTGTCAGATTTCTATATCAAACTCAATGAGAAATGGGATGTTCATTTGCCATGAGAGATTAATGTCCAAATTATATACAAAATGTAATTCCAATTGGCAAATGAAATTTCCAAGTCATATACAATTCTTAGGATATACATGTCACAGTTACTGAAGCTGAGACTAGCAATATCCATATTGGTGTTGTCTGATGGGCATGACACTTGATCATTTCTTTAGGTATTAATGTGACTTTGAGGGTTGTGAGTATTTATTTGCTGTATTTGACACTAGTTTCTTGTTATTTAGTAAGTCAATATAATGAAAGCTGAGTAGCTTTCCATGTGGTTTATTGCAATTGTTGTTGATTCCATGAGTCTAATGCTTGTTTATGCAATAAAACTGCAGGCTGTTTTACATACGGGTGATTTTCGGTTCTGCACAGAGATGGGTACCAATTCTATCCTGAGGTCTTGTAGCATCCACACCCTCATCCTTGATACCACATATTGTGATGCACAGGTATGCAAGGACCCTATTTGGTATTTAGTGTCATGCTCATCTCTTGGTCATTGCCATGTTATCTATTTTGTTTTTGGAACTTTAGCATTTTGTATTGTTCTTTTAGACTATTTATCAATATTAAGAGTGAATTATAAACTCATAGATGCAGTATGGGGCCTTAGTCTTCCTATTGCATTTCTTGTGTCATGCATGGGAAAAAGAGGTTTAGGTGCAAATTAGTGCATATACTCCTTTCATATCTTACAGGTAACCGTTGACGTACACAATGGGAACACAACGGTAGAAGGACCCGTCAACATAAATAAGGGTGGAGATCGTAGATACATTTGTAGGATTAGGATATCAGAAGTGAATGAAGCTCTGAAGATGATGAAAATATGAAAGGCTTTAGGACCAGATGGTATCCTGACAGAGGTTTAGAAGTGTATGGGGGAGATTGACATTGCCTGGTTGACCAAGCTGTTTAACAAAGAGTTGAGAACAAAGAAAATGGCAGACAAATGGAGGAAAAATACTGTGGTACCTATTTACAAGAACAAATGAGATATATACAGAAGAATTGTGTGAACTATCGAGGGATCAAACTTATGAGCCACACGATAAACCCGTGGGAGAGAGTGATTGAGCAACGATTTAGACATGAAACTAGTGTATCAGAAAACAACTTTGGTTTTATGCCAGGGAGGTCAACAATTAAGGTTATTTTCCCACTTAGGCAACTGATTGAGAAATTTAGGTGAAGGTTAAAGACCTCCACATGGTCTTTATCGATCTAGAGAAAGTTTATGATAGATTACCTCGAGATTTAGTTTCGTGGTTGAAAGAAAGGAGTCTCCAGATACTATATATCGACTTGGTGAGAGATATGTAAAAGAGAGGGCTAATTAGTGTGCGAATAACTAGTGGAGAGACGAGTGAGTTTTCAGTAATCATATGGTCTACATCAAGGGTCAGCGGAAGCCCATACTAGTGTTTTAAAATGCGGGATGCGGTCTCAATGCGGTCGGGGGGCCGATGCAGCGATGCGGTTCGGTGTGGTCCAGATGCGGGTGCATTACCCTGATGACGTCAATAAATATTAAAAAATTCTAAACAATCTAAAAAATAGGTTAATGCATATGAAAGAGTATGAAGGTGATTTATGTGATAGTAGGTATTTAATTTATTCATTAACTCTAAAGGTATTAGCTGTCGGAGATTCTATGTCCACTATCCCTTGATAGATCATAGAAGACATTAGAAAGTATAAACTAGAAACCTGAAACTAACTTCATAAAACATTCAACAACCATAATCACAAATTTACAACTACAAATTTTAAAGTTACAAAATACAAACTAAAAGTCTATGAAGATTAAAGAGTTCAAAAGCCAAGATAACGGATCATCATTTCTCAAGACTTGAGACTCTAAATATCATATCTTAATCAAACAAGTTATCTAGAGAGTCTCCATGTGCATCATCATCACTATCATCCTCGGTGGCCTCCACATATTGTTCTTTTTCCTCTGTCTCCTCTGAGTCAGCCTCCTCCTCCCCCTCGACCTTTGGAGCTGATGTGCGACTAGACCCAACTCTACTCTTTTGTGTTATAGTGTTAGGCTGTACTTCTTCATTAGCCAACGGCTAGCTCGACATCAAGCCAAGTAAGATCCTCACCCTCAACACATGCTGTACTTGTGGATCTATGGTCCACTCACTTGTGCAATCATCATCAGGTTCATACAATCGAATTGGGTTGAGATCCGTGCGCTTTTGATCCCTCTCCCTAAGCCACTCATTATATTGCACATAAACTAAATCATTCAACTTCTTATGCTCCAGCTTATTTCTTTTTTGGGTATGCAGCTATGGTACAAAACAAGGAAACAAGCAAAAGTAACAAATGTTATTTTCTTGTTTCCACTTTTACAATTTTTATATAAGTTAGATTTTAGAAAATTGAAATTTGAAATCCAAGAAATAAGGATTAAGGACTTACATGCTCAAATGCACTCCAATTGTGTTCGCAACCAGACTCAACACTCGAATAACAAGACGTTGTAGATTTGGTGTCTTGCTTCTATATGATGCCCACCATGTAGCTGTATAACATTTTATAATTAGATTGATATTTAAGTATTTATACAAATGGAACTATACATTATACAAGTAAAAAACTGTAAAGCAAACAAAATAGAAAGAGCACTTTTGGCCTTTACCTGGATCTATAGTGTTCTTGTTTTGAGTAGCAATCTCTCTTCCAAAGTTTCCCAATGCTAACTTGAACTTGATCAATTCGTGGCTCTGGATCTCATCTTGGATATCTTTGTCAGGGACTAACCTCTCAAGCACATTTAAGAATCCACCATTTATTACACCATCAGACTCAATGGTTGAGTGCTTGTTGTGAAGAGATGGATTTAGAAAGTAACAGGTTGAATGGAGGTGCTTGTGAAGCTGGTTATCCCATCTTCTATCAAGAATTCCAAGTATAGCGTTACATTTCTTTTCATCATCCTTTAAAACATATTTTACGTCTTCTCTTGCTCTATTCATTGCCTCATGTATGTAGCTCATGGCAGGCTTCGCTTCACCATCAACCAATCGAAGCACTCTCAGTAAAGGGCTAGCCACTTCCAATGCATGATATACTTGATCCCAAAAAGATGTATTGAGAATAATCTGTTCAGCCTTTCTCCCCTCCCGATGCTTTGATTACTTATTTTTGCTCTATTGCTTTGAAGCAAACATGGTCCTCAATGCATTTCTTTGCTTGCATAGGCTGTGAAGAGTGAGAAATGATATGGCATATCTAGTGACACCTGGTCGCACTATATCTCTCTTCTTTGTAAAACTCCTCATCATGTTAAGGACTATGGTTGCTAAGGACTTTGGTGCGATTATAACTAAATCCAGCAACAAACATTGCTTTTGAAATTTAAAAAAAAAAAAAAACATTGCTCTTGAAATTACCCCACTAAATATAAATGTTGCACACATTTCCTTAAGCATGGGATTAACACAATGAGTTGTGCAAGGAGTCCAAAACATATGCCTCCTCTTCAAAGTCAAAAGATGGCTAGCTACAGCAAAAGTGGCACCATTGTCAGTGACGATTTGTACCACATGTTGCTCTCCAACAAATTCTACAATTTCATCCATCAAGTCACATAAGTATGTAGCATCATGTGACTTGTCTGATGCATCAACACTTAGAAAAGTACCTACAATCCATCATACATAATGGTTGCTCCATACTTTTCCCACCCTTCTCTTTGAGAAATCAAAATTTTATTAACATCGGATATATCTTTCAATAAGGGCTCCCTAATCTCATGTAATATAGGAGGATTAAGTCCTAGGTCAAATTGCCCAATTGCCAGGACTATGCATGCAAAACTATTGAGGGTTATAGTATTAAAAGAAATGCTGGCCATGTAAAACCACTTTGCAATGTACTTATATACCTTATTCCTCTCTTCTTTTTTGTATCGATTTTCAATTGTGGTTTGTTTTGTTTTTTTCCTCCTCTCCTGAACGACAATTTCGAGGTCAGGGGTGCAAAATGTATCCATTGACTCTTTAGAGAGGTGATTTTTTTCCAGCACTACCACCAATATTTATAACCCTCTCTCTTGACCTTGAAGTACCCCTTTGCTTCATACTAACTTCTTATATACCCTCATCATATTCATCATCATCAAATAATTGAATTTCATCAATTAATTCTTTTCATCTTATTTTCTTATTTTCTTTTTGTGTTTTCAAGCTATCCGTGGATTCTCTAATCTTCTTTTTAAAATCTTCGGTAGCTTGTGGGCATGCTCTTACATTCTCAGAAATACCGGCTAAGTGTTTTTTTTGTCGAAAAATACCCCCATATAAGTATTTCCACATAGTATAAATAACACAATTTTGGTCTGTTTGATTTTTTTTTTAGTTTTGCATATTTCCAAGCCGGATCTTTGTTACTAGAAGATTGTGAAGAAGACATTGCCCCAAAAAAAAGTATCAGTGTATTAGGAAATAAAAACTTACTGATTACTTGAAGAAAATATCGATTGCTTCTCGGTCCTTGAAACCCTCGATTTGTTGTCAAAATTTCTCCAAACTTCCTTAAATCAACACCCAAAATAAACCAATCCACAACCAAAGATCATCCAAGACAAAAATCTAAGATTTCACAAAAAAATATATTTTCAACCACTTGTTTTTTTACTCGTTTTGATGTCCTAAAGGCCACAATTGTGGCTGATTTTTGTGGTTTGGGGGGTTTAATGCACCCCCCAAACCTTTCCCCCCCCCCTTTTTAGGGGTTAAAAAGGCATAACTACCCCTTTTCGAGGGTTTTTTTTCAACTCGCATGCGGGGTGCATATGCAGGTGCATCCCACCAAAGCTCATGGGTTGTTTAGTGATGCGGTTGCGAGCACATCCTGCATAATGTGGCCGCATATGCTGGGATGCAGGTTCCATCATGTGGCGATGCGGCCGCATTTTAAAACACTGGCCATACCTCTTTGTCTTTGTTATGGATGATTTAACTAGGAACCTATAAGACGAGGTTCTGTGGTGTATCTTGTTACTTCTAGTCTTGTAATTGCTTTGCATTTTTTTTCATGAAATTTACTTTCCATAAAAGAAACTCATCCATCTACATAAGGGAGAATAAATAGGAGTATGACTTGTAAAATTCATAACTATTATTTTCCCTCTAAATTTAAAGTGTCTCCTTCTTTTCTCTCTAAACTCTCATCCCTGAATTCTCTTTTCTTAACTATATCTTTGATTTGTTATATAAAAGGTGCGGTTTGTATAGAGCTGAGGCTCTAAACAATCAAAATAAAGCTCACCTTCAAATAGTGTCGAGAAATGTGGTTTCAGTACTGAAAATATTTGTGATAGACTTAAAATATATTTTCATCTTTAATTATAAAATTTAAAGCTTCAAAAATAGTATAGATCGAGTAGATCTATGAAAGCTTAAATTTTTTTAAAATTGAAGGTCCAAAAATGTGTTACAAGATGCACTATTTTCAAAACTTGAAATCCATTTCTTTCTCATGTCCATGCATCTTGATGTTGAGATTGAGGATATTTTGGCATCAAAACAACATTTTCTAGTGAAATTTTTGAGATGGGCTCTAATTTGATTGTTTTGAGCCTCGGCTCTATATAAACTTTTTCCTTATATAAATCCATTGACAAAGTTGCCAAAATTTCATATCCATCTATCCTTGAGATTTCCTTCATGTGTCATCCCAATCTTGAGCTTAAATGATAGGGATTGTATGCTATAAGGCCATTATTTTTTGGTACAAGGTCACAATCAGACCTAGCCGTCAGCAATGTGAAATCTGACAGCTTCGAGCATGTCACAAAATGTATTTAGCTATTTTTCCGAACTTTGTGCCCTTTTATTAGAGCACCTTCAATTGCTTGTTTTCTCATCCAACTTCATAGAGAGATTGTGAAAAAAAATCTCTTCCAACGTCCTTAAAAATATTTTTATGTTGGAAAATATATACGAGAGAACAGAAAAGAAAATTAAATTAAAATATAGAAAGGTCTTATGTTCTGATTATGTTGATCACAAATATGAATTATATAAATAGTAAATTCTATAATAAAGAAGGAAATAGAAAAGGTTAGGCAGAAATTTAAAAGCTTTAAAAATAATATTAAATGAATTTAAAATAACAAATAAAATTTTTACTTCTCAATTAAATATTAAAAATTAATTTTCTGTTGGAGATCATGCAATGAATAGTTCTAAATTTTAAAAATCTGAATTTTCTGGGCTCATCATAATACCATTGTAATTTCTTGTTACAGTTATGAATATAGTAACTTGGGAGCTTTATAATTTGGAAACAAAATAAGGATGTAAAAATCCCTTATGTCATGATAATCAAGGTATTTGTGATGTTATTACTCGTCGAAATCCAAAAGAAATCTGATATTCTAGATTATATGATATTTAGGTTTTGTTTTTTCTTTCATTATGCGCACCTTGAAATTGCTATAGAACCTGATACGGACCTTGTGATATTTGCAGTATGATTTTCCAAAGCAAGAGGCAGTTGTTCAATTTGTTATTGAGGCCATTCAGGCAGAAGCTTTCAATCCCAAGACTCTCTTTTTGATAGGCTCCTACACAATTGGTAAACACAGTTTTGCTTTTCGCTTCATGTTTAATGTGCCACTGAAATGATTCAGAAAATTTTAAAATTTGACATTAATATATGTTTAACCATCTAATTGCATATGTTGATTCGTATTTACCACAATGGTGATAGTTATCTTTTGCCAATTGAAAATACCTTGTGCATATATGACACACGAAAGTATGAGGCAGGTTTTGGACTTCTCTAGACTTGAAGATTACACATCCAAACAATTTTATTTATTGAATTTGTTACTTATGTTGGGATTTCATAGTTTCTAAAGTTTCACATTGTTATAAATCATTGTGCTTTTGTTCACTGACATTAATTTCTATGTATGTCTCTTTTGTATGTGTGCCCTTCAATGAGTTAATAAATCGAGTTGGAAGACCTCATGTGCTTTGGCGTTGATGGGAAACTTTAGTGTTCATGGTGAACTGATGTTCTTACATAAATGAACAACCCACCTAGTACTGACATGAGGCAATCACAGTCATCTGGTTGCTGACCTGTCGATAAGGCTTTCAACAAAATGATGCTCTTTATTGTTATATCTGTCCACTCAATACATATTGGAAATATTTGGTAATTGATGATATTGATTAATTGTTCTATTGAAGTTTAATTAATGTCAATCTTATATATTAAAAACTTCAATAAATGAGAGGATGCCTACTTATATTTTTCTGATTTTATTATTGTGTTTTGCATTTTGTATTTGTGATTGTTACTTCATAATAGAGAACTGGAAACATGGTAAAGAAAGAAAGCGGTATGAAGTAAGATAGAACCTTCATGTGCTCTGAAAAAAATATTTATTCCCATCAATTTAATTCTGATTTCCTGTCCTTATCAATTATTGGTTTTGTTTTTAAACCGTTGATTGTGAATACAGTACTTCCAATGTATGGGTTCTCACATGCTCATGCATTTTGGTTCTCTATTTAACTGCCTCTTTTCTGTCATGGTAAGGGTAACCACATTTATGCCAATGCTTGAAATAGTAGTGTGACTGGGCCTCTAATTTTAGAAAGTTACAATTTACTCTGCTGGCAATCTTGAAGCCTACTCTCAATTTTTTCCTTCGTCTAAGAATGAAATGGTTACTCTTCTCTCAATGCCACAAATGCATATGATGAAGAGCCTAATGTCTTATGAGTTGTATTCTCTAGGGTACTATTTGTTAACTTGAAGTGATTTTGTGTTGTTCCCTTAGATAATACTGTCTCGATTGTTCTTGAACTCTAAAATTATAAAACAAGATCCATGATTTGCTAAAGCTATTGAAATTCTTTTACTTTTCATAATATTGATTATTGATGCAGGGAAAGAGAAATTATTCCTTGAGGTTGCACGTTTTCTGCGTAAGAAGGTTTATGTAGGTGTTGCTAAGCTTCGTTTGCTTCAGTGCTTGGGACTTGCAAAGGAAGATATGCAATGGTTTACATCAAATGAGCATGAAAGCCACATTCATGTAGTGCCGATGTGGACCATTGCGAGTTTTAAGAGGATGAAATATCTGTCAAACCAATATTCGGTAAGATATCCAAATGATGTTGGTTCCCAGCTTTGAATTTAGTCCTATAAAGTTTTTTATAGTTTTATATTATCTATATCAACCTTTAGAAGGATCCTTCTCCTTCTGGATGTTCTGTACTTTGGATCCCAAGGATGGCAAACTCCCTGGTAGTTAATTGTAGTACTCCTGTTCGTCTCCCAATCCATTGCTTTGATAATTCTAGAAACATGAATCATGCAGTGTTTAATACTTGGAATGAGGCTTTTCTAACTGGCAAGAAGAATGATTGGAGAATTTCCTGGATCAAATACTTGGTTGCGTTCAAATTCATCCTTGCACATCCATGGTTTCGGCTAGTTTGTGTCTGATTGTTTTTGTGGTCAAGTTGGCTAGTCAAGTCTACTTTTTACATTGCCAGGAGAAAGAAATGGTAGAAAATAAGAGATAATAGGCTTGCAAACATGTTATGTGCAATTATTTCAAATTACTTGTGTCACGATTTGAGCAGTGGACTTTTTACTTATAGGAAAACAGAATTACTATTTACATGTATATCATTTGGTAACCCATATTTCTTTATAAATAGGTTCCTCAAATATTCCTCTGGAGATTATGTTAAAACTATACCGTGTGCCTCAATTCTGGTTTGTTCAGGGACGTTACAATCTCATAGTTGCATTTTCTCCTACTGGATGGACATTTGGAAAGGGAAAGAAGAAGTCCAATGGAAGAAGGTGGCAGCAGGGTACCATCATTAGGTACTACATATATCTATATGTATATTTTTTTTTTGACTCAAAATTCATGCTGAATTTTCTGACTCAAAATTAATGCTGAAACAACCAAAAGATTTTTCATAATCTTTGACTATAAATTAGGAAATTAGGTTTACAATAGAATTGAGGTCGAATGGTTAAGACCAGTGGTTTAAAAAACGAATCGGTGACCCGGATCTGGCATCTCAAAAACCGATCCGGATCGGGAATCAGGTCGATTCGCTCGGATTAAGCCTTAAAAAAATTCAAAAAAATTATTATAAATGTTGTTTTTTAGGAATCCAATAAGAAATGAGGGTACTACATTATTAATTTTCATTGTTTTCATCAATTTATGAATATTGAGATGTTCTTTCCCTGTATGAACTTATGTTGACCATTAAATTTACAGCACACAAAAGAAATCATAGAATTATCATGGATTAAGTATATAATCATATATGGACTACAATAAAGAGTTGACTAAATCAATGAAAAATTGGCCACTAAAATCTTGAATTGGCGGAAAACTCTAATCCGCTAAAAAAATCCATATTATTACAACCTAACTAAATATAATATTATATACCAACAATATTTTATAATTATTTTATTATATAAATGATAACAAATCCAAAATATTTTATAATATTATCTAATTTAAAATGTATTATTGACAACTGTAAGAAAAATAGTACACTACATGATTTATAATACAAAAATTAATAAATAAAATAAAAGATTGGTTATCAATGTAGAAATTATTAGAATGCGTATCAATTTTGATTAATTTTTTAGGTTTCTAGAATAAATTAGTGGAAGAGATTGTTAGTAGAAAGAGAGAGATTTCAAATGGCCTCATTGATTTCAAATGGCCTCATTGTATGAATCCTATCTTTAAATTAATATTACTAAATTTATGTTAAAGACCATCATGTTATAAAAATAAAAAATATAATTAGACCATTTATTCCTAGATTGTATTAAGAAATACCTTTTATTTTTTTGACAAGAAATACTTATTGTGTTATCTTTTATTTTTTTTTACAAGAAAAATATGATACTTGTTGATTATCTTCTTTTTTGTTTTGACAAAAGAAGAAGATGTACTACATTTTTTTTTGCTTGTTGTATTACTTTTTATTTTTTTTACAAGAAAAATTAAAAAATGATGCTTCCAAAGTACATTTTATTTTTTTATGCCTTTTGTTTTATTTTTTTGCAAGAAATACTTGTTATATTACCTTGTATTTTTTTTTTACAAGAAAAATAAAAAAATGTTGTATTAACTTTTTTATCTTTATCTTGAAAAACCTTTTATTTTATATTTTTTTTATTTTTTTACAACAGTATTTTCTGCCTTTGTTTATTTTTTTGACAACAAATTGCATTTTTTTTTACAAGAAAAATAAAAAAATGTTGTATTATTTTTTTTATCTTTATCTTGAAAAGCCTTTTATTTTAAAGAATCAAGAGAGAGAGAGAGAGAGAGAGAGAGAGAGAGAGAGAGTGTTCTTACTATAGTGGTGGTGTCGTTCGTTCCGTACCGTAAGTAAGGTAGTCGTCGTAGTTGTTCGTAGTCGGTCCTAACGTAGTCGTACG